GAGAACGATTAAAATCAATGAGCCTGTTTTGAGAGTGGTTATATTGGCAACTGGACTACATTTGACCACAGACTGCTGGGGTAATAACACAAGAGACGATGAGAGTGACAGAGAGACAATGAGAGGTGCAGAGAGACAATCACAGGAAGATGGGAAAAACAAAACAGACTACTGAGAGAGAGTGAGTGACAGTGAATGAAAGACATTCAAAGAGGAGGGCGAAACAAACATTCTAACTAATACAGCAAATTAGAAGTGTCTTAGTAATATGATGGGTATTGACTGTTAAACCCATGTGAGAACAGAAATTTAACAACAATTGTGATTTTAGGTTTTGGTGTTCATCTCCATACAGGCACAATGATGGCAAACCTGGCAACCCAATGTGATGAGAAGACTTCAGGATGCTGTGTCACTGGACCCAACCCTCCAACTCCACATATGAGATTGTAAAAGAACGAAATATCTAACTATTCCTTTAAAGCAATATCTTGTCGAATACAATATGGATTCCATTGGCAGTAAATTGATAGCTAATAGCTAAACTAAAAGCTACCTAGCCAAAAATATCAAGTGTTTGGTTGAGTACTGTCCGATAGCACTCGAAAAAGAATTAGGGACAACAAACTTTAGAGGGACTTTCCAATGTTGCAAGCGCTTGATTCTTGAGGGCAAGGGCGGAAAAAGAAAAAAACCTCTGAATAAGAGACACATTAACAAGGTTGAAGGACACATAGGAAGATAATAGAGATAGGGGTAAAATCAAGAGAGGCAAAGTGGTTTTTGTGAGAAATGTAGCAGCCAAGAGTGAGAGAGACCGAGAGTGAAGGATTTGTAATAGAGAGATAGAGAGGCAGAATGACAAAGAGGAAGAATAACAATGGTGCCAAAGCCTCTTCCATCCTCCTTGCAAACGTCCCTGATCCCCTTTTTTCTCTCATTTAAATTCCTCTCTATTGTCATTGCAATCCAGGCCCTAACCCCCCACCGCCTGGCAAACACACACACACACACACACACACACACACGGACATTACAGTGCACAGGCACTGACCTCCACCAGCAACCAGGGCCATTCCAGGGAGCCGGGCTCACACATCTTTGCTAATCCCTATCAATGGGCGCACACATGCACACACGCTCTCAATGTTTGCTGGAAAGATAGGCTCAAGTTTCCTCAGACTGCAGATGTCAATGTGACCCTAGTCATGCTAACATGGGTGTGGAATAGCAAGCAGCTTGTCACCGAGCATCCAGTGTCTTGTCAGCGGCACAAGGCCAGGCAGGCTAGCGCAGCGCTCACTCGTGCCTTGTCAACATGTACAGTCGATATAGCTTGCTTTAATTCTATTCCTTGCCTTGCTATTCCCCGGTCAGCAGTGTTTAAGACCTCGGTATACTGGCTTGTCAGCACTGGTGCCTTACAGAGCAGACATACTGCTCTCAGTAACGTTAGCCTGCAATGTCTTTAGAGCTGTTTTACAGCAGCAACAGGGATAGAAAATAACATCTTGCCAGCGCAGCCAGGACATGGCTGGGTTAATACAATTCCTTGGCTTATTCCTTGTCAGCAATTCTAGGTCACAGAGATAGCAACCGGCGCTGATCCTAATATTGCCTTGTCAATGTGCACAGGCTACATCTGGGCTGTCAACAAAGCCTGGAATCATGCAAGACAGAGTAAAATGATGCCTTGTCTGCCTTGTCAGGACAACACTGGTGTTGTATTATGCCTTGCCTTATCGCTGCAATGTCAACAATGCTAGGTCAGAGATGGTAACCAGTGATACTCAGACTATTGCCTTGCCTTAGTCCAGACTATCATGGGGAAAACACGTCCATTCCTGTTCCTGGAACAGTACATGTTATTGTCTTTCAAAAAGCTCTAATGGTATTCAAGAAGAAACTAGGTTTTGGATGGGCAGGTTATAAGGAAAAAGGCAGAACTGTATCTGAGATCATCCCTCTAGAACTGTCATTACTTCATAAAAAAACTATTATTTTTTAGATTGTTATCCAACTTCTTTACAACCACTCTGAGATTAATATCCAAGTATATCTATCTATCTATGTAATATAAGTTTCTTACAAATAGTAATGATATAGTTTCATTATATTATTTATATTATAGTTATATGTTGTATATCTCCCCGTGTCCACTGATAGCTGCTAATAAACTACCAAGAACTGCCGTGGGACAAATGGAAGAATATTAGATAAGTGAGCCAAAATATACACTGATAATGAGTGAACATGAAGGAGCTCTCTGGTAATATTGAATATATTAGGGCAGAACGGGCACTTAGCTAACACGCTGTTACCTAAACACACATTCATACACACGCACACTCATGTAAACTAAAATTCAATTTCAAAGTCAATTTTTGTGAAACAGCATTTGCAAAACAAATCAAGCACAGGTACAGGGTACACTGTGAACAGATCGATGTCTATGTGATCTCAAATAAAAGCGTGTGTGTACTGCAGAAAAAAAGAGAACGGAAGAGTGAGGGAGAGTGACCGAGTGTGTGCAAAGGTGATTTTGGCGACTTGGCGACCCCGAGAGATCAAAACACATCGTCTCACATTACTGTCGACCCCACACACAGACACTCACGGTCAGGAGATTCATGCGCTTGTACAAGTGTAGATGACAGTGTGGTGTCTACAGAGCCATTTGCCGACCTGCATACCGACGGCACCGACTGCAGTAGTCAGAGAGAGAAAACTGAAAGAAAGGTTGTCATCTTCATGGGCCATCTCACATGTACGCCACTTCACAGAGGCTCTGAATCACCATGGATAAGTACAGGGTAAAATCCGTGTATATAAACTAGTCATTTCAGTTAGTCACTCCGACCTCTAACGTAAATTACGGGTAGACAGGGCTGGATCAGGTGTCTTGTTTGTGTTGAGTTCAGAGCTGCAAAACCACCTCGCATTGTGGCCAAGTTTAAAACATCAAATCAAATGCTTCCAGTGGATTTTTAGACTTCTTTGGCAGTTTGTTTGTTTCTGCTTCACACAGAAACTGAGAACAAATTCAGCTTTAAGGTTGTGTAAAATTTGGTTCCACCAGTGCCAATTATGTTACCCTCTGTCCACTGGCTAATGCAACCCAAAGTATATAGCAAGAAATGCAAGAAAATACATTACCATATCTACCAATAAAATGTCAAAATTTCAGACATTAAATATTAATTCAGGAACTATGCAAGAAGAATCAACACAACCCTGCTTGAACATAACAGATGTGAGAATAATGGATTTTGTATCATGACTGGAATAATCTGACTTTAGAAATTATTTATCTTCTATGCCATTAGCATCCATACCTCTAACAGACAGACAGACCCTCTACTCTCCTGAGTCTCAGTCTCTTGACTCTCTCCTCATTCATTTAATGTGTCTTGTGTGTCTGAATCTCAGTTCCTTGTTTATCGTGATTATGCAACATGACATCATGACATATGCCTTGCTGTGAGCCAAAGGTCCCAATGGGAAGAATAAATTCATGAACTCGAACTCAATTACAGTTACGGTGAAAACAGGATCCTTGTGTAATTAAACTGCATTATACCTGGTTGTCAGCAGTAGCCTGAAGCTTCTGCAGGCGTGTGTCCTCCGTTCAAATCCCCGGACTGGCACTGGAGGGGGGAGGGGGGGGATCTGGCTCGGAGAAGCAAATGAGTAATGCTTCCCCCCTCCCTTATTGACTATAGTCAAGCTGCCCTTAAGCAAGGCCCTTAACCCCTAATTTCTCTGGTGCAGCTGCTGAGTGAGCAACAATTTGCATTTGCTAATTCTGTATGCAAATATCATCTGTCGTTCATGTATAAAAATAAATCTGTCAAGAACAGAGGCAGACGTTTCTGCAAGGAGTGCTATTAAACTGTAGCTTCAGGTCTCTGAGTTAATAAAAGTGTGTACACATACTATTAGTGTTCAAAGCATCGCTGCAGGCATGGACTTCCCTGTATGTAACCTTATAGTCCTGAGCTGTCAGTATGAATGCATGGCAGCGGCTTGCATGGAATCTGGATATCTGTCTACGTGTGTGTCCACTCCGTCTGCGTATTTCCTGTACGAGTAAGCGTACTTGAGTGTCTGTGGGTGCCGGTGAAGACGGTGTGTAATGTCTGTGTGCCCATATTTCTGAATTTTTGTATCTCATCCACTGACGTGTGTGTCTGTGGTCTGTGTCTGTGTGTGTGTGTGTGTTGTGTGGTGTGTGTGGTGGTGTGTTGTGGGGCTGGCATTTCTTTGGACAGAGGAACTCTATCTGCCTCCACGGAGTCCTTTCAACGCCCGCCGCCACACACACACACAAAGACACATCACATGTCCTACCACTGACACATGCTTGTCACCACGGCAACCAGATACAGCCGTAGACATGCTACTGACAGAGAAGCAGGGACCACCATACTGGCAGACCAGAGGTCCACATGGGGAATAGGGCAGCTGCTGGGATCGCTTGTTGAATCCTGAATTTTCCAACAATATTCTTGAAATCAAACACAACAATTTTCAAGCAGTTAATTGGGAATCTTAGCACTGATTCAAGAGGCCCAAAGCTTAAATCTGACATACAGCCTGCCTTGTTCTCACATATGCTAGACAGGTTCACGGTATATCTGTGGCTTTCACACATGTGGCTCCCATTGTTGATTTGATCTTAGAGTGCTCAGCGCTGAAACTATCTTCAAAGTGGCGTGTGGGAAATTTCACGTGACGGTTGAACTAATTTACAAGATGTAGATTCATTCGCTTATTTGGTTGAGCAGGGGGGAGAAGAACGAGAGCAACATTTTTGTCTATTTATACGGGAAATGAAATGAGTTTCACGGACGCCTGGCTTGTGAAACTTACTCAGCACAAATAACAAAAACGGCTAAATTCAACTACACAGACACTGAAAAGCAGAAAAAAAAGAGTGAGCTGCAGTGTGTTCAGCTGGAGCAAAGACATCTACAGTACATCCACAGAAAAGAACTTACCTTGGACAGGATGAAACGTCAGCACGAGCCTCCTCTTCACCCTGTCAAAAACAACCCAGAGTTAGTCAATACATCTGCAGCAAATGTACAGCAGGATTTGAGTTTAGAATACAACAAACTGATCTGGGAAAAGACTAAACAGTCAGTCAAAAAAGGTTTGCCAAAGTGTCCTTTTCGGACATCTGGCATACTGGTCACAACCCCTAAAGAAAGCTCATCTATGATACTGAGGATAGCGTCTGTCATGTTCTCCTCATCTTTTCAACATAGTGGAAAAAGAGATTTGCATTTGTGTTGTTGAAAAGGACAATATCCTGCTTGAATTTTAAACCCTTCATGATGGGATTTTTAAAATTAATAAATCTTTGATCTCTTTGGTTGTTTTTTTATGTACAGTCTTATGTAAAAGGCGTCATACTGTAAAGAGATGTGTACAAATTGCGGTTCTTGCATTTTGAAGTAAGAGACACGATTGTGATATATCACAAGAGTTCAGTTCTGCCCTTTCCTGCTTCTCCAGGCCTCTTCCTTCAGTTCTCTCAATCCCACTTATTTTATTAATGCTGTAATGGTTTTTATTTCATCAGGCAATATTTAAAACAGTACGTGAAAAGTCAAAATCTAAAATACATGCACCCCCATAGGCATAGTCTAGTGCAGTCTTATCTGCTCTGTGCATTCGCTTCTCCCCTTCCTCCATCGCTCCTTCTTTCCATCTGGTTTCCATTCTCTCCACCTGCCCATCAGTCTGCAGCCAGGGACAGGTGAGCCTATTACACGCTTCTCACACTGTCTACTACACACACTCATACGTACACACACAAAACCACA